CACACACACACACACACACACACAAACACACACACACACACTCACATGACATGTCTCATTGATACACCTTCAAGACAGACACCAACCTCATTTGATCCTGCGTTGTACCGAGATGTTTCATTGGTTCATCACTTGTAGCTACGTGTTTCATCCGTTCTTGTCTTGTAACGTCACGTTTCACTGGTTTATGTCTTGCGTCAACACACTTAATTGACTATTATATATACGCATGTTTCATTGGTCCCTTCTCAATACCGACACATGTTTATTAGTGTGTATTTTGTCCCTGTATCTTTCCTTGAACCCTGTTTCATTGGATCCTCTTCTTGTACCAAGATGAACCTCTTTTCTAGAGCTCTGTTTAAATGACTCTGTTTGAAACTGTCGCATTCAGATCCGCCAATATTCGCCCTGGAAGGAATGGATATATGGTCCACATTATTCTTAGTTAACAGTGTTGCTTGAAAAGTAACAAACGCATGTTTCTTGACATTTCCCTGAGCTACTCGTGGTTTTGTTTTAACTCCGCATTCAACACAGGAATTGTTTCCCCACAGTGGGACATCCGATATTTTGCAACCCGCTCCCCCCTCCCCCATTCTCCCCTCACCAGGCATGAGCGAATAAAGTCTATGTAAGCCCAGGAGAACTCATCCACTAGCATGACTTTACAAAAGCCTCTTTTGGAATTCGAACCTTGGACAATCAGCACGATTGCCAAAACAAAATCCAAGTGGTATGGCGGGGGTTTTAACACCCATTTTGAGACTGAGGTTATTAAGAAACGGAACGTGAAAATGTAACCACCAGCTTTTGTTGGTAAGATGATGAGTATTGAAAATGTTGTCCTGGCGCGAGGAGAAGTAGTTGGCCTTTGATACGACTCACAATGTTTGTGTTCAGTGGGATTTTTATTGTTTAAGGGGGAGGGGGGGGTACACCCCCAAGGTCAAAATTCGGCCCAAAATTATGGAATTTGAGTTGTAGGCATTTTTAGCTTTCTCAGCCTCTCATACAACTATTTCATCACATAAGAACCCCCCAAAACCGTATTTTTTCCCGTACCGGGCATGTTTGTCACCGCCATTTCCTCATAAAGTCAGTATTTTATTTTTCTTTATCGGCCGTTTTCTCAAAACGCGACTTTTCTCTATACTTTTTGGAATAACTCCACTATTTTTAATCCAATCTGCATCAAATTTTCACAGAATGAAGAGAATATGTAATACTAAAATTATTTGTGTTGACAAGTTGATACAAGGAATAGATTTTGTTGGTGGTGTCTGGAGTGTGGATTTTCACGGATTTTTTGCAAGCTTTAATGCTACCTCAGGAAAAAATTCATAAAAAATTTTCTAATTCGTTTAGGAAAAAACAACAACAGACAAATCTTTAGATCTAATGTTTGTGAACACGCATGCAAAAACAATTAATTTCCATCAGCGATAAGTGCGGTATTTATTACGTAAGACATGTCAACAAAATCCAATATGGCCGCCGTATCCATGGAAACGAAACTTTTTCTCAAATTTGATAGCGGATGTTAAGACTCCTTAGTATGCTTGTTGTATGTGTGAAATTTGGTAAAATTCGGTCTAATAATAAGCGAGACAGCCTTCAAGTGTAGCCCCCCCCCCCCCCCTTAACCGATTTCCTACAAAGGACATGTAGATCTAGGCTCACTCCAACAGGGTGTTCAGATTAGAAAAAAATACACCCCCTCAACCTAACAACGACAACAACAGAAGCAGCAGCAGCAGTAGCAAAAATAACAACAACAACAACAGCAGCAGCAACAACAACAACAACAACAACAACCACAACAACTAATTAAACGTTCACACTCACCCTAACTTTTTCTCTTCCCCGGTCCATCCTTCATCTCTCTTTCCATAATATTCCTTTCCCCACTCCACCTCAATGCCCCCTTCCTTCCCACTCTCCTCATGAACTGTGTCCCCCCCCTCTCCCCACCGTCCCCGCGTTATTTAAGAAGATATCGATACCCGACTAGGGCAAAGATCGTATACTACTAGATGGTTCACTCCTCTCTTTGAGTCAATTAAAAAAGCGTCCTCAAAGTGCCGTGGTGTCGTCTTCGAAAAAGCGCATACTTCGCGAAAGATACCCTACTTGTGTTAAAAAAACCAAAGTGAAAATGTGACTAGTTTTTGAATAAGTTAGAATAACATTTCGGAAGAACGCCTGGTTAGGCTGACAAAAAGCCTCTCTGCACTCCTGCCTGTCTTCTGTTTGTCTGTGTGTCTGTGTGTCTGTGTGTCTGTCTGTCTGTCTGTCTGTCTGTCTGTCTGTCTGTCTGTCTGTCTGTCTGT